GCCCGACACGGGCTTTTGTAGGAAAGGTCCTTCTGTCCCTCTGGCCAGGACCGACCAATAATTTAAAAGCCCAAAGAGGTCACGTGGTATACACCTGTCCAATAAACGTCCGACAGTAAATACAACACCCCGTCAGTTCTCCAACCGCCAGAACCAAATTCCTTGTCTAATCGGCCCGTGCATTGTTCGCCGCCTGGCTGGCGCCTGAGCGCCGACTGCCCGGATCGGGGAACACCCGTGCGCTCCGAACATTCGGGCCGACGCCGTCCGGAGCAAAAACAAATAATTAAAGAACACACCCCCGCCGTCGCGGCAGCCACAACATGTACACCACCCGCACCGAACACTCGAGCCGACGGCGTCAGGAGCGAAAACAAATAATAAAATAACACACACACACCCGCCGGCGCAGCAGCCGCAACATGCACACTATTTACATTACATTATTCCGAGCATCAGATAAAATGCAAGCTAAACATTCGTGGCCTACCTTGTATATCCTATATATAATCAAGAGCCACTGTTTTCGATTTCTTACGAAGGTTTCAATAAGCACACATAGTGGCTTGTTACCTACACACTCACTCTGCGTCAGTATGATTCATGTGTACCCTTGTAATCTCATCAGATGTATGTGACCCGCCGACAGTGAAAATAGTCAAAACATGTCCTAAAATTAACTGCAGAAATTATGCAATCCACATAATAAAGGAATGTAGTTGGTAGCAAACGTAGCACCACACGAAGCTTTACAAATTAAGGCATGAAACACAATGGAACACGACGAGAAACACGAATACAAAGGCTTTGCCAAGGATCGGAAAGGAGAGCGCAGCGACGAGTTAAAGGCACCTTATGGCGGCCGCGTCACGTGATTCCTATAGATGTCAGCGCCCATGCGACGGAGGGTGAAAAGGACGATAATTTTGGACAACGTTCTTTGACCATGTTGTCAAAGCTGTGGGCGCACTTGTGCTTGGACATCTTGAGCGCCCATCAAAGCTGTGCACGCGCACTCTTCACTTCTGGAATATCCCTGCGTAAGCATAGTGTGGTAACTGTGGTGATGCGTAACTCAAGTTAAGGGTGACTTAACTCAAGTTAAGGGCGCCCGTCTAACAGGGGGTTACAGTATTGCAGCTCAATCGAGATTCAGTCTCAGTGGACAGCGGATGAAGAGAGGCGGGGGAGGGGGTACACGTTACAGAAAAAGTTTACTAATATTACACATGGTAGTGTTCCCCCAAAACTATACCCGTTTTTCCACCTGATAACCTAATTCAAAAATACCTTGTTTTTCTTGTCGTTTCCTCTAAGAGCAAGAAAGCCATCGTTCAGGTAAACACCCTCGTACAACAACGTCTAGCCATTCCCGTGCGCGTGGCTAACCAAGCGAACTAGGATTCCCTCTCTAACGTGTCAAAAAGCGCGCGTTATAAATAGATGAAAGCTTTCGCAGTCCACTGACCGTTTACGCAATCGCTCCCGGCGCTCCTTCGAAGGCAAAAGTAATCCTGGAGAAAGTCTGCACGCGCAAGAGTCAAGACGCGAGTGGCCGTCAAAGGCGAAGCCGATTCCGCACTCGGGAAAGAGGTCGCCGTTGCGTGCGAGCGCCTACTCTCCGTCTGACCTTACGACGGCCCGCAGCACACCCTATATCAGCCATGCCAACCAATCCAGCGTTGTGAATGTATGACGTCACTACGCGTTTCGCGTGTCGCTGCAAGGTCACGTGACACCAACGCGGCATGGGATTGGTTTCGATGGCTTGTAGCGTCCTCCGCGGTCCATCGCGAAATGATACGGGGTATTACGACGTTACACGTACGTGGAAAGGCAACCCCTTGATAAAGGGAACCCTCGCTCAACCGGTTTTTTTGTGTGACTTCGCGCGAGCGCTCTGTCGCTCCACGGCCCTCGAGGCCGGAGGCCGCGGATCCTCGGTGCGTCGAAAATCTCGGTCCCGCGCGGTGGCCTTCGAAGCACGAGTCGCTGAGACGGAACGTATCTGTGCGTGTTTCCTACACTGGGTCGGAGCTGTTTGTTGCGGCTCGTCGTGGTCTGTGATCGTTAGGCCGCGGGCAATCAAACTGCATATCTTACAAAAGGCAGTCTGCGAACATTGGGGAGTTTTCGTAGATCGTCTTCGTCCTCCCACAACGCTCTTCGCAACCCGCTCGATATGCCATCGGCGCGCAGGCGCAGAAGCGGCTTCCTCGTTGCGGAGAGGGGAAACGCGGTCTAGGAAAACTCCCTAATGGAGAGTCTTAGGGAAGCGTTTTTGCAGATCCGATACGGTACGATAATCCCTCCGGTATACGAATTGGGCATGCGCTACCACAGACGTCTTTCATATCGGCAGTGCGTACCGGAGGGCCCATCGTACCCGTACCGTATCGGATGGACGAAAACGGTTCCCTAAAAGTATCTATTGTTTGAAACGGGACTGAGACGTGTCCGCGAAAAATGCTGTCATCATGAGTGCGGCGAACGGCGTGTCTTTGATATGATGCATGAACAGTGTGATGCCAGAGTACAGGCGAGCTGGTTAAGGGGTATTCACACGAATACCCCTTAACCTTAACCGGCACGCGCATCCCACGACGAAAACGTCAGGCTTTGCGATGTGCCCAATTCCTCATGTTTTCATCTCGTGATGCGCGCGTGCCGGGGAGAAATCCCCGGGATTTCTCTTTCGCGTGAATACCCCTTTAAGGGGTATTCACACGAGGGGGAAATCCCGGGAATTTCTCCACGACACGCGAATCTTGCGACGAAAACGTCAGGCTTTGCGATGCGCAAAAGCCTCGCGTTTTTGTCTCATGATGCGCGCGTGCCGGGGAAAAATCTCCGGGATTTCCCCCTCGTGTGAATACCCCTTTAAGAACTGACATTTTGTTAAACCCTGGAGAGGGGAAAAACAGGGACAGAATAACACGAATCTCCAGAATCGAGTTGTTCCCTCTTTCTGTTTCTCCACTCCCCAGGGAATATAAATGGTGAGTAAGACTGAACTTCAAGGGTTGCAGTGGACTCTAAGATTCCGCGGCAGGCAGTCGCTACCTCCAGGGTTCAAGTTACGGGGGAAGGAGGGGGGGGGGAGTTTATTCCCCCCTCCTACTACGTCAGCCTCTCCCCCCCCCCCCCCTCTCCTCCCCCCAATTTCGTTTGGGGGCAGGGGGTTCTGCAAAGAAGTGTATCACAAACATATCTAACGTCACGGAGAAGATGCTATTTCTCCAAGCGGGAGACACATTTTTTCGAAAAAATAAAGTGTTGGCGGCCTTTTCTTTATAAAATAAAGTCGCACCTTAGAGCTATTCTTTTTATGACCAAGTCCGCCCCTGCTACCTCCAGATAGAGAGGAAAGCGGAAGGCTGCAAGCCGTAAGCACTGAAATCTGTAGTCCCACAAGTGAGAACGAACAAGAGAGCGACAAAAAGACAAGCAAAACAAAATACACTCAAAAGGTAATACGTGTTCGTTTGGCCGCGTTAAACTATCTGTCAAGTGTTTTTTTTTTTTTTTTTTCCCCTTAGTACAACCCAGGACGTCGGATTTATCTTGCAAAACAAGGCTGGAAATAACTAGCTACCGACCTTGCAAGTTCTGTTTTGCTGCTTTGCCCGTGTTGTCGACTAAAGTCTCGCCAGCAACCTTGCGCCCTACGGGTCAACCAATGATGAGTCTCTACGCGCCGCCGCTGCCAAGCGCCCGAATCAAGATGCAAATGATGGCGGACATTTTCCTCCAGGTCTGTTGTACAAAAATGCCAGTGCTGCCGCCTCGCTAATTGGCCGCCGAGAGATAATTATACGCTCGGTACTGGCCACATTCTGCAGTGATTATAGAAAACAAGATACATGCTCAACAGACGGTGTAAACTTTTTTTTTTTTTTTACCAAAGCTATGATCTGTATTTTTCTTCAATAAATGCCCCTGAATAGCTTCTTTCTTCTTCTTCTTCTTCTTCTTCTTCTTCTTTTAAATAATAACGTGGAATGATTCTCCTATGGCTTGATTTCGAGCTTCCTCGACATGTACTTTCGCGGACGATATGAACTGAAACGGTCCTTCGTGCTTCTTTGTCGTACCTGCCAATTCTTTTTTTTCTTTTTTTTTTTTAAGAGAGTTTCAGTTGGGTTTAAAAATAGAATGAGAAGTTTGGGTGCCATAGTTCGAACTGAGTGAGAAATTGAGAGATAACAGAGCTTTTGGGGACTGCGCCCATGCAGAAAAAAGCCCAATCGGACGCTTCAGCTCATATATATCTTTCCGCGAGGACACCGTCGTGGTCTCTTACTTTTGGCTCCAGTCACTTCACTTCGTAATTAATATATGCTTTTTTATTAAATACTTGAGCGTGTTGGTGATCTACATTGACTTAAAACGAAAGAAACGAACAAGAGGACGAGACAAACGACATAGTTGTGTCGTTTGTTTTGTTCTCTTGTGTGTTTCTTTCGTTTTAATAGAGGTAGGCGCGTGTTGGCTCAGACAGCAATTGGAGCCCACGCTCACCTTCCGGCCTTTCAACAGGACAGCTTTGTGCAAACAATAGGTTCATCAATATGACAACGGGAAATATTAGAATAACGTTGTTGTTGTTTTGTCCCGATGCCGTGGACTTCCAGTGAGCGCATTAAAGCATGCTGCGTAGGGGCAGTGCGAGTTGTCAACACCACTATCGTTCTGCAGCAATAAAGACAACAAGAACACACGACTTGCTATGTTTTGTTTTACCTTATGATGGACCGCGGACGACACCGCGAACTATCCAAGCCAATCCGAGGCTACGTGAGCGTAATGTGACCTTGGGGAGAGGCGTGGCGACATGCGGGGCTCGTAGTCACGTGGTCACGTTCAGGGCGTTTTATTGGCCGAGATGGCTCGTAGGCGTCCCTTTTCGGCCCACCGCAAAGTAAAACGGATTGTAGAACTTCCCATACTGAAACGTACACCGATTTCGCGCGAGGAAGTCGACAAACGGCGTAGCTCACCGAATCGGGAAATGTTGGGCTCGTCGACAGCACGGTGTCCACCGAGGACATAACACACCACCCGCCCGATAGAGAAACACGCGGCTATCAGCGCCCAGAAACGCGCGCGCACATCTTTTCAGAGATACGCGCATCCGACCTCGTGGAACTTCGCTTATCCATCCACTATCATGCGTTGTTTTCCGAATCCGGGCGTTCGCCAAATGCTCCGCGTTCTTACACACTCATGTATGCACGCTTGTTTACGGCGCACTGGGAACATCAATCATCGGCCTTCCTTTCGTCAGTTCAGCCAATCAGAAGAACGACAGGACTAAGGGGCTGCCACGGTAATCCTCTCCGAAACCGCGTCACCGTGCTCGTACATATGCAGAAGATACGGTGTTTGTTGCAGATGTGATGTTCGAATTATCCGTTGTTGGAATTATCCGAGCATTTTGGAACAAGCATGTTTGCATTCATACGTTATGTACGCTTTAAACATGCCTGCAGAATGTTTTTTTTTTTCTTTTTTTAAAGATGTATTAGCAGTTCGACCGCGACTTTAGTGCCAAACGGGGAGGACGTTTTTTTTAGAACCGAAACTTCGTGAGCGTTGGAGGCGCGAGGTCATCGTCCTTCTCGTGGGTTAAAATGGTTCAAGGAGCAACAAGTGACGTTCCTATATAGAAGGACTTTGCGTGTTCAGAGTGACCCTCCGGGTATGCCACCGTAAGAAACATGTAGCGTCTACTTCTCCGCAAAGCACTTGGGAGCTCCCAAATGAAAATTCTCATTTGTATGAGAAATTTCTTGTGTCCAATAAACACATATGAATCATACAAGATATTTAGGAACATATAAGAACCATATAAGAACCACAAAATAACCATATAAGAACTTTATGAGAACTATATGACCTTCTCATTTTGCAAGCTGACCTTCTCAAAATAACCGACAGGTGCCAGAATTGGAAAATGTCTCTCAATACTAACAAATGTAAGTGCATGCGTTTTTCTAATTCATTAGCAGAAACTAATCCTACGCTACTTTTGGATGGGACTATACTCGAATATACAGACCACTATAAATACCTCGGCGTGCATCTTTCACCTAATCTCTCTTGGAATACTCATATTAACAACATTGTACAATCTGCTAATCGAAGTTTAAGCTACATCCGTCGAAATTTTAGATATGTTCCCAATAACCTTAAGCGCCTCCTGTACGTTACTCTTGTCCGTCCCAAATTAGAATATGCGTCTTCAATTTGGCATCCTCATCAATCAACGCTAACTGATTTAATTGAATCTGTTCAGAGCCGTGCTGCACGCTACATTTTTTCTGATTATTCCCGTTTTTCGAGTGTCTCGTTAATGAAAGCTCACCTTGACCTTCCGCTATTATCTTCACGTCGTAGGATCTCTCGCCTTTGTCTTCTTCACAAGGTATTTTATACGCCCATCTTACAATCTCTCTTAAACCCCCCATCATACATCTCGGCTAGATTTGACCATCCTTGTAAGATCGCCCGCCCACAATGCTTCACCCTCGCACACCAGAAGGCGCTCTTATCATCTGCGATTGTGGACTGGAATGACCTCCCCGAGAACCTCATCGGCATCACCGACAGTGGAAGATTTCGGGACGCCATCACCAACTACTTCATGTAAACCCACTCCCCTCTGTAACGCCACCTGTGGCCCTGAGGGTATTATAAATAAATAAATAAATAAATAAATATATGAGAAGATACAAGCGCCATATAAGAGATTTGTGAGAAGTTGCTTATATGGTTCTTATATATCTTATATAGTTCTTATATAATTCTTATATATCTCTTAGATGGTTCTTGTATGTTCTTATATATCTTGTATGATTTATATGTGTTTATTGGAAACAAGAAGTTTCTTATACAAATGACTTTTTCACTAGGGAGAGGCGATCGCCGCAATCAATACGAGGGTTCTCGGCGAATGACAAAGCTAAAAATATATTTAGACGAAAAAAAATTGCCAGCAACATTTATCTTTAAAGGCCGACCTACAGCCTTCTACAGAGAAGATAGCGCTGTTGCGCTCTTAGCACTCTCCCTCTCGTAAGCTGCGAGGGAGCCAAGTTGTTGCAAGGTAAAAAGTGGAGAGGATATAGGAAAGCAGGAGGCGGCTAAAAGTGGAAAGCGCGTAGTGCATGTCGGCCCTCTAATATGGCGCCCGAGCGTCGGGGGACCGTCGGCTCAAGAGCCAGACGTCTTAATGGATTCTCCCTCGCCCACGTGAAGACAACTCGCCGAGGAGCAGCCTTCGTCCGGTGCGCTGCAAAGGACCGCGCCTTTCGGTCCGCATTCTTTGTCATTAAAGTTATGTATGCCCACGTTCCAGAGGTGTCTCCTTTTACTCCACTGGATACCTCTATCGAAGTTCCTTCGCGACTACGTATACATAAAATGCATTATAGGGAATACTCCCATCTCATTAAGCGTTCGGCGTATGCGTGACGCCTCCATGATTTCAGTTTATACAGGAGGCAGACGGCCGTGTTTGCGACGGCTCCTGCCGTCTCGTGCTCTACACACGGAGAGCTCCATCGAGGTCGTCGCGCGTGCAGAAAGACCAAAGTTCCCTCGATGCATTGCGGCTGCGGTGGCGTAGTCGAACTGGCTGGTGAGATCCGTCTCTTGGTGAGGGAATTGGTGTATCGCGTGACATATATTTCCCCGCTAAATTTTGCGGGCAAACTGAAATACTGTATAGGTCGTGTTACGTCAGGCCACACGGCATCGATTTCCCCGCTAAATATAGCGGGGAAACTGGATTGGCATCTAGGTCACAAGACGTTCATTTTTCCGCTAAATTTATCGGCAAAACTGAGTTGACGTGCAGGTCACGGGCTGTTAAGGTCTCCAAGTCGCATAGGTCACGTGACATGAGGTGACGTCAATTTCCCGCCAAATTTAGCGGGGAAACTGAATAAGTGTGTAGGTAGCGTGACGTGAATTTTTCCACTAAATTTAGAGGGGGAAACTGAATTGGTTTTTATATGTCCCGTGACGGCATGTCAATGGACGTCAATTTTTTTCGCTAAATTTAGCTGAGAAACGGGCCTCGTGTACACGTCTCGTGATATCAACTGTCCCGCTAAATTTAGCGGGAAATTCACTGACGGACGGACGGACGAAAGTTTGGGATTGGACGAAACATTAAAAAGGCATTTCATCACTTTAAACCACCTTGTACTGTGACACTGAGCATGGTTAAATGTCATGTTGAGCGTCACAGCGCGGGTCATGTTAAAGATGCAATAAAGGGGCATAATTAGCGATACCTTGATCCGCGCACTCTATGCGCATAGAAGTCGACCATGTCTCTTCGAGCTCGCCTTACCTTTTTCGAAGTAAGTTCCTGATACATTCGATGCCAGAATACAGCTGGACAAGCCGAGTGACGTGTTCCGCGAATGCGCTAGTCTGTGTTTACCCAAGCCCTAGCAAAACACCTTACCACACGCGACCAAAAAAAGAAAGGCACACAACAGAAAAAAAGAAAGGAACAGGTAGAACCGTAGCGACGTAGGCTAATGGCATGCAGAGACCTTGGAAATGTCTCGACGTGATGTATACTTTAGTGAGTCGGTGTTTTTAAAACAAATGCAACAAAAAGCGGAGGGAAAAAAAAAGGGGGGGGGGGACTAGTAGATTTCCACGAACGTAGCGCAGCGAGTTTGTTATTAGTTTTCTATTTTTCTATAGAAAACGACACAGGTCGTTGTCTTCATGTCTCGATCCTCACCTTTTCGGCGCTTTATACCCTTGCAATGTACCTACTGGCCCATCTATATTGGTACATTGTAGGTTTATTCCCCCGCACTTCACTTTACCCTCACTGACACCAATCGTGATGTCTTTTGACCCTCTTTTTTGAAAATAAAAGAGTGCACGTGAATAGCTCTGATAGGCGCTGAAGATGTGCGAGGGCGGAGACTCCGAAAGCTCGTTTCATGACGTAACGCTGCTGGAAGGAGGGCCTTCAGCGGTATTTTGAAAATCCTTTTCTGTAGCCTCTGTGCACCAAATAGACCGTTGTCGCCAGCCAGTTTGGCTACGCCACCGTTTCTTCAACGCATCGAGGGAACTTAAGTCTTTCTGCGCGTGCGACGACTTCGCTGGAACTCTCCGGATGCAGAACACGAGAAGGCACGAGCATGTCTCAGGCACTGCCGCCTGCCATCTCAGAACTAAAGTTATGGCGGCTTCACGCATGCGCCGAACGCTTGGCGAGATCGGAACGTAAAACAAGCTAAAATGGGCCTCATTTATTTATTGAAAGTTTCAGAAAGTCACTTCTAACTTTTGAATAAAATATAGGTTTGTGCTGAAACTTTAGCATCTGATTTGGGCCTCTAGCGCTACCTTTGGGTGGAGAATAAGCGTTCGGCGATGCATAATTTATTTTTGCGGTGGAAAAAAAGAACTGTAACTGTTTTGGGGGGACACCCTGTAGTTAAATTGGGACGCTGGGCTTAGGCTAGTCCCGCTACCAACCGCTACGAACCCAAGCACCCGCACAACGCCAACAGCGCTTGTCAAGCCGTGAGCTTGCGACAGTTGTGTGCTGCAAAGTAGATAGGTTGAGGAGATTTTCGTCCTAAAACCTTGGTGAACGAAGAACGACTCGCAGACATTAAAATAGCCGAACTCGACGAGCTGCTCTCGTTGATCACTGCACTGACGACGCCAGCAGCCACGTTTGTTATCGTTTGAAACCGAAGCGGAAAGGCAATTTCGGGATACGTTTGAAGACAATAAGGACTCTATCTACATTATTTGTTTCTCATACATCAAAATATTGTCGATTACAATACTATTACGGTACAGAGAAATAATTTTACAGCCAATATTTTACACGTCAATCATCTCTCCAACCAATGAGTGGCGAGAAAAGGTGCTGAGTTTTTTAAGCAACGAGCGGGGCCTAGAGCAGGACTACCCCCCCCCCCCCCCCACCCCCCAAAATTGAGTCTAGGGGCGTAATTATTGATGAAAAAATATTTTTAGTAGAAGAAGTGGTATATATAAGATTTAACCCTTTAAAACAATTTCACTTCA